AGTCCCCGCCCACCGGAGCTGTGGGCCCCTGGCTCAGGTGATGTGCGGGTTGTCCCCTCCTGGCCGAGGTGTCCCTGCCACCCCGGGACCCTCCTGCAGACAAAGCCCCCGGCGCTGCTGAGCCCGGCCAGGATGGGGGATGTGCCGGGTCCGGCTGCCTCCCGGGGGGACAAGCCCGAGCCGAGCCCGTTTCCATGGCAACCCATCCGCTGCCACCGAGCAGACCTCTCGACCTCCCCCCGCGGGGGTGGGGGACCCTCTGGCACCCCCCCCCATCCCTGCTGCACAGCTCACCCCAAACTCTAGGGCAGGGAGGGACCCCGGGAGCCCCTCCTGTCTGCGAGCTGAGCTGGTCTGGAGCTGCCCCTGGAGCAGGGATTAGTGCCTGTGCTGCTCGGCGTCCTACAGCTGGGTTTTCCCCCAAATCCTCCCCATGCAAATGCACAGGATAACAAACAAACCCAGCTGAGCAGCGCCCGGCATCTCCGAGCCCGGATTTGGGCAGCAGCCGATTAGCATCTGTGCCAGGAGCCAGGTGCTAAGCTAGCAGGAGAACAGGAGGTTTGGGAGACGTCAGGGAGGTTTTGTATCTGGCACACGGGAGGGAGGCCGGCTGTGAGCAGGGGGTGCCACGAGATGCCTCCTCCAGCCACGTGGAGGACACTGTCCCTTTGGCAACTTGGCTGGGCAATGAGATCCATGGAGTGACTGTGGCTGCAATAGCTGAGGAGGCAGCAGGAGAAGGATCACAGGGAGCCCTTTTCCTTGCCCTGGTGCAACTCTGGGACTGCTCCTTGTTGTGAGTCTCTTTTTCCCTTCCAACATGCACCAATTGCTGCCAAAATCACCTGGCTGCTCCCCTCTCTGTGCCAGGGCTGGGCTTGCCACAAGCCCTTGGTGCAAAAGACCCAAGTGCTGTGGAGGGATGTGCTGCCTCTGGCAGTGATACCCTTCCCTTCAGAGAGGCTGGCTCTGGCTGCCAGGGGCCAAGGAGCAGGCATGGCAAGGCAGCACAGCCCAGCCTGGCACTGTCAGGAGCCTGCAAGGGGATGTCTGAGTGCCATGTGGGAAAGAGACAGCTTGGCAGGCCAGTCTGAGCCCAGAGGACATCAGAAGGCTGGTGTGTTGGGGGTGGGGAAAAGCCTTGACTTCCCCTAGCACCTAGTTTGAGTGCATGGTGGTGGCCTCCTGCATGGAGAGCCTCAAGGTCTCCTCCAGCTGAGTGGGAAGAAATGGGGATTAGAGTGGTTCTCCAAACCAGCTGCACCAGACAAACCAGCTCAGAAAGTGTCAGAGGTGATGCCAAGCTCTGCTTGAGGAATCCCAACCAGCAGCCAAGCTGGCTTGGCTGAATAAAAGAGAGCTCCTCTGTCACCCTAATGGGCCGGGGAATCCTCTGGTGCTGCTGTGCCATGGAGGCAGCCTCCATGAGGAGGCAATACTTGGGGCTTACCATCCCTGCTCACTTCCCTGACTCTCCCTGCTGCTTTCTTTGGGGAGAATTTGTCTCCAGTCCCAGCCAAGGGACAAAGATTGGAACTGGCAGTGGAAGGGCAAGAGCAGGGGGTGCTGATGGCTGTGGCACATGTAACAGTGGCTGTCACTCTGCCTGGTGTGAGGAGAGCTTCAAAGGCTGGTGTTTGGCTTTCTCTCCCTGCAAGAGTAATCTTATGAAACAGGAGTGATTTGTAGTTTTGCTTTCCTACTTTCCCCTCCCAAATCTGGAGGAGTGGCAGCTGAGGATGAAGTCAGCTTGGAGAGCAAGGTGTATTCACACCCCACCCTGCTCCTCTGCCGATAGCATCTGATTAACCTCAGGGCACCCAGCACATCTGCTCTCCCTCCTGCTGCCTGCCTTGTGCTAGGACCCTTGCTAGGGAAATCCCAGACCCTTCTGGAGTTTTCCACCCCTGCTTTGGCTGCCTGAGCAGCTGTGGAGCTTGGGAAGCAGAACTGGGAGGAAAGAGCAACAAGCCATTGGGAGCAGGTGTATGGGGAAAACCCCAGTGTGGTGTTAAGGGTCTTCTCTGCTTCCTCCATCCCTGGCAATGGGTTACTTCACTGAAGTATTTCAGAGCAAACATCCCTGTCCAGAGGCTCTTGGCATCATGGCAAACCCCAGACCTGGTCTGTGTGCCTGCCCAGTGCAAGACTGCTCTGCTCACCAGTCCAGGTACCACCTGAGAATGTGCCTGCCCAGTGCAGGACTGCTCTGCTCACCAGTCCAGGTACCACCTGAGAATGTGCCTGCCCAGTGCAGGACTGCTCTGCTCACCAGTCCAGGTACCACCCGAGAATGGTTAGTCTGTCCCGTGTGACCACAGTGTGAAAATCCCACCACAAACAGCCCTCAGGGTGGTCACGGGCTTGCTCTTAGTATGTGTGCCCTACTGCAAGCCAGTCCATCCTACTGACTGTGGTATCCATATGGAAAAGAAATCATTTGCTCCTCTGTCCTATCTTGCAATGATCCTGGGTGTCTAAATGGCCTCTGAGAAGGCATCAGCCAATCTCTCCACCCCATGGGTGACTGAAGGCATCTCCTGGGTATACCACATCTCCATTAGCCCTGCTGAAGGCAGACCTTGACTCAAGATATTTGTCATGACATTCAAAGCTCTTCCTAGGACTGCTTCTGGCTACCCACAGGGTCTCCTCTTCCCTTGTCTGTGCTCCTTTGTGACAGCTCTGGAGCAATTATGTCTGGCTGGCAGGGGTGGGGTGCAGCTGGGGTTGATGGCTGAGAACATCTGGGTGCTCTAAGGTGGAACAAGTCCCCCAGGTTGTGTGGTGGTGTGTGTGTGGGGGGATGGAGTGCACTGCTCTTGCTGCCCTGGGGGAGCAGGTCTCCAGTGAGGTGATGGGGTGTGTGTATCCACACATTTCCATCCATCTATATATTACTTATCTCACTCCAAGACGGCGGCAGTGGCTGCTGCTGCATCCCTTCTTGGAGCTGCTATTGGCCAGAAATGATGTCAGTGCTTCCCAGGCTGGGTGCACTGCCA